ACCTGTTCTCAGGTTGGGTCCAGATCCAGGGCCCATGGGCCCACCACTTCTGGGGTCAGGACCTGCTCCCAAAAGACCACCTGCCCTCAGATTGGGTGTAGGACCAGGTCCTGGGAGACCTCCTAACCTGGGGTTAGACAAAGGCCCTGGGCCTGGAAGAGCCCCTGTCCTAGGGTTTAGAGTTGGGCCTGGGCCAGGGCCTGGGCCTAAAAGGCCACCAGGCCTTGGGAAAGAAACTGCGCCTGTGCCAGTGGGATTCATCCCTCTTGGAAAAGAAGCCATGCATGGGTCACGAACACCAGCAGGGAAAGGTGCTGGATTTGAAGCCAATGAGCCTGATGAAGTTGGAAAACGAGATGGGTTCCTTGGAAATGGGGCCAAATTTCCACCAAGAGAACCGGCTGCCATGAGAAAGGGATCCGAGTTCACACCCAATGGGTGGCCTGTATTCAGAACAGGACCTCCCTGTGGTCCCAGGGAGCTGTCGAGCCGTCCTCGAGGTGGCAGTGGAGCACGAGTCCAAGGAGTAGGCCGCTCTCGAGGGAAAATCCGGGGTTCTTTCATACTTTCTTGGGGACGTTGGTGATAATGGGTTTGGGGCGGGTTTTGAAAAGGATCTTGTTTTTGATGAGTGCTGTCACCAGGTACTTAGTGCCAGTCTCGCAGTCAAGCTCATCACAGTCCTGGTCCCCGGGAGAATGTTTGACAAGGACCGCAAAAGGTTTCTCCAGGTGGATGATTTTCCCATACAGGATATGATGCCCCACGATCAGCACAGGGATTCCCTTTGGCAGAACAAAAAGGAGATGCCTGAGGTTCAGGGCAGGGCCGTAACACTCAGGTGCCTTATAAAGTTGCTCTTGGCAGGCAGTCTAACACCTTCACTTCCTGGTCTGCTCTAACCTTTTTCAGCAGCAACATTGGATAATCCACCCATGTGTCCTTTTTACTCTTTCTAGCCCTGTGTAAGAGAATTTCCACTTTCAGAAATGTGACCTTTCCAGATTCCCCAAAGCC